AAAAAAAAAAAAAAAACCACCCACCCCACGCGCCGGGGGGATGAAGGAAAAGAGCGGCGCAAAAAAGCGGCGGGAGTAGCCCGCCCTCCCCCTTCACACACCCCGCACACCGCCCTCCCCTTCCTCCCCTCCCTCAGTGAACGAGGCCCCTCGCACAACGGCTCCTTGGAGAGGAGGGGGGGAAGGAAAAAAAAAAAGGCGGAAAAGAAAAAAAAAAAAAGAAAAAAAAAAAAAGAAAAGAAATTAAATTAAATCACCGCCGCCTCTCCAGCGGTGCCGCGGCGGGTAAGGGGAGCGGCGGTGGCTGGGCAGAGAGGAGGCAGAGCGCGGGGGGCGAGCCGGGGAGCACCGCGCTCTCCCTCCCAAACTTTGATGATGACCATGACTACGATGGCTGACGGGCTGGACGCGCAAGACTCCTCCAAATCCGCCTTCATGGAGTTCGGGCAACAGCAGCCGCCGCCGCCGCAGCCGCCGCCGCCGCCCCACTCCCAGCAGAGCTCGCCGGCAATGGCCGGAGCCCACTACCCGCTGCACTGCCTGCACTCCGCCGCCGGCTCGCACCCGCACCACCAGCATCACCACCACAGCTCGCCCTACTCCGGCAGCGCCGGCTCCTACAACCACCGCTCGCTGGCCGCCTACCCCTACGTGAGCCATTCGCAGCACAGCCCTTACCTCCAGTCCTACCACAACAGCAGCGCGGCCAGCCAGACGCGGGCGGACGATGCAGGTGAGCCGGCACCGCTTCCCGAACCCGCTGCCAGCTTCTCCCCCCGCTCCCTCCATCCCCGGGCCTCTTCCCGGCCCCCCCTCCGGGCACCTGCATAACGACCCCCGCCGTGCCCCCCGCTCCCGCCGAGGCAGGCGCCGGCCCTGGGTGCGCGGGACGGCGGGGAGAAAAGGCGGGGGGTTGCCCGTTTCCGCGGCCCCTCCGCGGGCCTACTGCTGCGGTACCGGCGGCGGGGCCGCCGCGCTCCCTCCGCGCCAGCGGCGGCTGCTGGCGGTACCGCGGCGCTGCGCACCGGCGCCTTCCCCGCTCGCCCCGCGGCCGGCGCCGAGGGGCTGCACTCGGCGCTCCTTTGTTACGGCGGGACCGGCTTTAGGCAAAATTCCTGCTAACACCTGAGGAGTGAAAGTTTCCAGGCGAGCGGGTCGCATTCCGCTCGGGGGCCGTCTGATTTATGTATTTCTTTTTTTGCAGGGAGACGTACATATCCATCCAGAGGGGCACGGGAGGGGGGTGGTGGGGGGGGAGAAGCATTGTTAAAAGTCTCGGACTGGTGATTCACTGACCACCAAACTGGCGACGCAAAGTCAATTAGCTGAGTAAAACCTGGATGGCCCTGGAGCAAGGCATACCTTCGCAAAGCCAGCGCCGCACTTTACATTTTTACGAATATATATATATATATATATATATATATATATTTATTTATTCTTTTTATTTTTTTTTTCTTCCCGGGAAGAAGGAGAACGTGCCCACTATGCCCGGACAGCTGTTTTTTCTCCCGGTAGCTCCCAAGCAGCAGCCTGTGCCGCGCGTAAGGAGACGCAGCCCTGTTGCCTGGGGTGAACAGGCGTCGGGACAGGCTTTGGCGTTTTTAGAAGCCGTGGCAGCCAAAATACCCGCGTTTAATAGCTAAGGAGGATGATGTTTCAGCTGTGTTGTTTTGCTTGCAGATCAGCAAAAAACCACAGTGATTGAAAACGGTGAAATCAGATTTAATGGAAAAGGGAAAAAGATTCGGAAGCCTCGAACCATTTACTCTAGTCTACAACTCCAGGCTTTAAATCATCGCTTTCAGCAGACTCAGTACCTGGCACTCCCAGAGAGAGCTGAACTGGCAGCTTCATTAGGACTTACCCAGACACAGGTAATTACTGGGAATCCCAAATCACTGAAATCCTGCTCGAGCAACAAAGGCCAAGCAAAGTATGATGCTCCCTAAACATTTTGGCCTCTGTCGGGAACGGTAGACAAGGTAACGCACACGGTTCCCATCTCTCTGTGCTAGGATTTACCTAACGCACCACAGAGCTCGGGCTACCGCAGAAAGAGCTGAAAGCGCCCTTCCCTCAGCCGTCTGCGAGCAAGCGCTCCCTTTTGATGCCACACATAACGATTTAAAATTGCCTATATTTTCGGATAATTTCAGCACCGAGATGCAATTGCCCAGCTGTGAAAAGGAGAACAAAACAAAGGCAAGGAATCGCTGGGCCTGCCTGAGGTAGAGCTAAAAGCAAAGCTGCCTCGTAGCAACGTATATAGGTAGAGGGGGAAGCAGGAACGCGTTAGGAAATACCTGTTAAATCAATAGTTAATTCACCCTGGATGACTAACGCAAATGCAGTGGTTAGCCTTGGGCAAAATGTACGGAAGGTGATAATAGATCTGAAGATCAAAGACAGCCGTGTACAAAATTATGGCAGGTTAAGCCATAGTTAAGTGTGGTTGGAGTAGCTGTGCCATTCTGCTAATTTAAGCTTGAAAGACATATGAGGCATTACAGGCTTACCAGGCTGGGGTTTGTGGAGAAGTGCATGGATAGATGGGATAAATTCGGGCAAAATGTTATCATGTGAATCTATGAGCTTAACAAATAACTTCAGGATTTTATCAATGTCATTGGTTACAGACTCTTCCAGACAGATTTTTAAATACTCAGCAAACATTAATGATGGGAATGGGCCTGATGGTTTTGCAATGGGATTTTAGTATCCTCAGCATGCACGCTCTGTCTCACTGTTGTCTTGTTTTCTCCCTAGAATTCATAGATTTTTTTAGGGACCCGATCCTGATCTTGCAGCTAGAGGAGAAGCCCTGCTTATCCCCTAATGAAACATTATGATTGCAAAGTTTGAGAGGTCAAACATGCATGGGGAATTTGTTTTCTTTGTTTGATTTTAAAAAAATACATTCTGTATACATGTCTTACCTATATATAATTTCTATAATAATTCTGATCTGCCAGTGGGCCGGATCCTTGCACACCTTATCGAGTGCAGTCTCCCTCTTTGGGAGTTCTGCTGAGTTAGGAGCAGGATAAGACCCAAAGCAATGTTGATATACTATTACTCACAGGGAAAATAAAATTATTCTTTCTTTAATAATACATTTTAATATAAAGCCGTAATCGTGGTTCCATTACGCCTCCTCCCCCTCCACATCAGCGTGGACTGCTGGATCTGAACGTGAGGATTTCAGAAACGCGATTTCTTTGTAATATGCCCTTTGTCTATTGGCTCTTGTCTTCTGGCACAAAATCATATGATTGCCCATGTTTGACAACAGTTTGCCCGAATGATCAAATGACCTCCAAAATTCTGAATGAGGCGCTAAAACAGGAGACCTCAGAGCATGTGGTCTGTTTCAGCCATAACAATCTGGCCTGCCCGGGGAAAAAACAACGTCCCATGTTAAATCCTGCATCCCTCTCGCTTACCAGCTCTGCTCTGCCTCCCCTGTTCCCTCCAGATGCATCCAAAGCCCGAGAGCAGCCGTAGCTAACCCTCCTTTCCCTCTCCCCATCCCCAGCTCCACACCCGACTGGCGTGTGCCCTCAAGACTTTCTCCAGATTAGACCCCCGGCTCTCTGCTGCGCCCTGGGCGCTGACGGCAGCCTAATATCTAATGCGTTTCGGTTTACAGGTGAAGATCTGGTTTCAGAACAAGCGCTCCAAATTCAAGAAGCTGCTGAAGCAGGGCAGTAACCCCCACGAGAGCGACCCTCTGCCCGGCTCCGCTGCCCTCTCCCCTCGCTCTCCAGCTCTGCCTCCAGTCTGGGACGTTTCAGCCTCTGCCAAGGGAGTCAATATGCCTCCAAACAGCTACATGCCTGGCTATTCTCACTGGTATTCTTCTCCACATCAAGACACAATGCAGAGACCACAAATGATGTGAATCGTCCAAGAGAAATAATCTCCCAAGAACGCCTCGTCTCGACATGGCAAGAAGTTCCCCTGCTTTGCCAAGCCGTGCCAGCTAACAGGCTCTGTGTGAACTTGTAGATGCGGCAAAGAGACAGAGTGGCTTTATTTTTTTTTTTATTTTTTTTTTTTAAGTAACCTCAGCGATTGATCTTGAACAGAAAGACACAATTTTCATTCTGGCGCACAGAAGACACTACTCTTTAGGATATTTTCCTTTGGACTCCAAGGCACCAGCCTCTTTCTCTGTGGAGTATACGTCAAAACAAACTTTTTACAGACTTTGCCCACAAGAACCTGAATCTACCATGGCAGCCGTTTTTACTTGTTTAATGAGCTAAAGACATTACATGATGAAAGAGAGACTAGTCAAAGCTCCTTCATTTTTATTCACCAAATCCGGACTGGGGAAAGGATTAAGAGACAGAAGAAGTGATTAAAAAAAAAAAAATAAGATGGAGGGGAAAAAAGGAGAACTGGTTGAAAAATGCAAATATACTGTAAGATTAGAACATTACCACGAAGCAAAAATCTGCATGCTTTCTCAAAATGTAATGGGCTGCGGCTCAGAAGAAACCACCGTCTCTCACTCGAAGAGCCCCCTCATCCGCACAGACCCGCACCCGCACACAGCCGGACAGTCTCCCGGAGACGAGAAGTAAAGACAGAGCGAGGGATTCGCGGCCAGAGCCGCCGCCGCGGGCAGGGGAAGGAAGGTTCGGCGCTGCCCGGCGGCAGCCTCAACCACTGAGCGAGAGGGACCTTTCCCCGAGCAACCTTTCTGTATATATTGTTGAATTTTAGTTGTACATATACTTTGTATGTTTTTGTCTTCTTTCATATATAGAGTAAAAGCCACAAAACGCCCGCCTGGCTCCTATTTCTCTTCACGTTAGCGGATCCCCACCTGCCCCGACTTGCCCCCCAGATCGGTCCGGGCAGAGGGATCCTTGTGCCCAGCTTGCCTGAGCGCACAGACACCCCTACCAAAGCATCTATCTGCGAGCAAAGAAAGAAAAGATGAAGTGGGGTGGGGTAGCTGGTGGTTTAGTTGGTTTTAAGGCTACGACTTAAAAGACAGGAGGTACCGAGTCCACAAAGATACGCCTAGACGAAGTTCCTAATCACCCGGCCATTTCTGCTGCGATTTTACTTCTCTGCTGCTTAGCTGAGCTGAGCTTTCTCGCCGAGGCAAAGCTCAGAGCCCTGTCTTTCTTCCCAAAGGTTGGAGACTCCAAATTATTAAGAAAGGAGGCGCCCTCCTTTGTTTTAAAGAGCAGACAATGCAAGCTGAGGAATGTTTTGCAAAGCCCTGAGAGGTGCCCAGGCACACAACACGCTGTCCAGCCAGCTTCAGCCGCACCGGCTTGTGGAAAGCACAGCAACTACTGACAATGAAAAGCCTTTTCCTCATCCAAGCTGGGTGCCCCATACTGCGAGAATTAATGGCTAGAGACCTGGGCATCCTTCAAATTATGAACCTTGAAACCACTGAGCCATTTATCAGAAGTCAATAGAGATCCTCAGAGTGCTCCATATAATGACAGCTACATACAGTCGTGCAAAAGGACAGTCACTATAATTAGACACAAAGCAAAGACTACTTACCAATATACCAGTTTTTTGGGGGGTGTTTTTTGGTTTGTTTTTTTTTTTTGAGCAACTTCCACGCTCAGTCAGTCTTCAGAGTGCTTTAAAACCGATCAGTCTTGTCATTTTCTACCATTCGTATTGTTACATTAGGAAAAATGTTTTCTTTTCTTTTTTTCCCCTTCCCACTGTGAAACTTTGGGTTCAGAGCTCCCCAGGATCAATTCTGAACAAAGCCTCCAGCTGCAGTGCCATCCAATTTGAAGCAGACATTGGGGACAATTTAAGGTTTTTATCCACAAGAAGGTTTTTTTCCATTCTCTTAAATGCAGCCATAATTAGAGTAATTTTTCATGTAGCCCGCTGATTACAGCGTTTTTACCGTCAAAGATAATTACCTGTAATTTTCTTCCACTTTTAATACTAAAAAGCCATCTTTATTTAGATTCAGGAACAGGAAAGGCGAAACAAAAGAGGAAAATTATTCTGTTATTCATACACAAATTGCAGAGACGTAGGGCCTAAAATTGAAAATTAACCAAAATTATAATGCTGAAAAGAATGGAAGAGGCTTCAGAAGTACAGCTGGTAGTGGGGCTCACTGAATTATTCAAATGACACTGGAGAGAAAGCTACCATACATTTAAACCAACAGCATTGTGTGCATCTTTCAGAAAACCCCGCTTTACACCCCCCCACCCCCTGTGCGGGCTCCCCCTCGCCTCGCAGAAGGGCGGTGGATGCCCTGGTGAGCGGCTCCCGCAGCCCGGGGAGCCCGGCCCAGCCGAGCCCGGCCCGGCGCCTCCCGGCCCCCACGACCCCGCAAGCGCCTTTAACCCTTTCGCTGCAGCGCCCAGCGGGCACGGCGGCGGCGGGCGGTCCGGCCCTGCGCTGGGGGCCCGGGGGGCGGGGGAGCGGGGGGCTCGCTGCCTCTTGCGGGGGGCTCGTCCTCCCCTGCACGCCGCGCGTGGGTGCCGCTGCGGAAAGCCTTTGGATGTGTCGTGCCCTCCTCCCCCGCGAGTGATTCCTCAAATAGGCTCAGAAAAAGCCCAGAAAACAAGCGAGCAAGCGAGCAAATAAACGATAACGAGAATAATAAAAGCCCCATTAGGTTAGTAGCGTGGGAGAGGGTGGGAAAGGTAGGCCTTCCAGGGAGCGGGGTGGGAGCGAATGGCAGCGGCGGCTCCCACTCGCGCGGCAACCGCCCCGGGAGTCTCTCGTGAAACAGCGTCATCTATGGATGGAGCAGCGGCAGCTCCCCACGCCAGGGCCAAACCTGCCGCCGCCGGGCTCCACCGCCCCGGGGCCGCGGGGAGCTGCGGAAAGGAGCGCCGCGGGAAGGAGCGCTGCGGAAAGGAAAGGAGCGCTGCCGCCGCCCCGCTGCGGGCACGGGCTGACGGGGCTGCCCGGGGCTCGCACGGTTTCTCCGGCGGCCGCCGAGACCCGCACCGCCCCTCTGGCAGCCGGTCGGGGCTCCCGCCGCACCCCCGCCCCTCGCCGCCCGCCGTCCCCGGCAGCATCAGGGCAAAGGGGGCGCTTATCTGTCGGGGTCCGGCCCGCCGAGGTAAACCACCTCCGAGAGAATGACCGCGAATGCGGGGGAGCACAAACGGAGCGTGCCTCGACGGGCAAGGCGCGGAGCAGTCACAAACCAACCCCAAACCCAAGCGAGCCCCAAAACTTACCCCTCTGAAAATCTGCTAAGCAAGGATCGGGGTCTAGAAATCTGTACTGAACAGAAGCAGTGGAGAATATTTTTCTGAGTCTCAGGGCAGAAGCTCTTTCTCTATATTCTTGGTTGAGTGAGCACATCCAGGTGTGAAATTGTTTGCACACCCCAGCACCTCTTATATTGCCAGCAAAATTAGCTGTTATTACTGTCACTGTTTAGTGATGGTTAGCTTGATAAAAAAAACCTGCTGTAATCAAGACCTGGCGCATCTTTGCAAATTACAGATAATTGTAAACGTCCAGATTATGATAATAGCATCCTAATCCAGCCTGCAATATAATTATTACAGAGTGTTACATCTGAAACTGTCCAGTAGGGCTAATTCAGCCATTATTTAGACCCTATTTTTGCACTGCAAATGGGTTGCTGAGTTGAAAATGTACGATTGTAATTTCACGGGGCACTCAATGAGTAATGGTATAGGGAGGGAAAAATACAAAAGTGAAATGTGAACAGTAGCGATCAAATCAAACTCTGAAGGACAAAAGACTGTTTGATTCATAGGGAATGAGAAGAGCGGGAATTAAGAAAATAGCAAATCAGTGGTCTGCAGCGTTACGTGTCCAAATCTCGACGACTGCGAGCCTGATGTGCAGTCAGGGACTGCTGGTTCGGCTCCCGCCTCGCATCAGTCCTCCTCTCGGCTCGGCTCTTCCCGGCAGCCTCTCCCCGGCACCCGAAGCATCCCCGAGCTCCCCACCCATCCCCAAAAGAGGGCTCGCCATTGTCTTGTGCCTCCTCTCAGGTGACTGAACGTCACTTTCGGGCGAGAAGTCTCGGGAGCCTCGGAACAGGGCGGAGGAAAGCGCGGGGTGCGGGACGCCAGAGCCGGGCACTCTCCGCTGCGAGCGGTGGAGCCGGCGGCCTTTTGCTCTCCCGCGCATCCGCTGGACCGGTCCTCAGGGGTCCTTAGGGAAATTATCACAGAACCGACTCAATTGTAATTAATTAATCAAAAGAGCCTGGCTAACAGGACTACCTGCAGCTAGCGAGGTTAACTCACTGGGCTAGTTGGCTTTCGACTCCTGATTAACTTTTATTAACCCTGGACACGAAATACACAAACCCGCTTCATTTTTTAATGACCTAAATCATCAAAGCGCGGTTGCCGCCCGACCGGTAAGTCTTGGGTTAGTCTCCGCAGGGTCCAGATGAGAAGGGGCAGCTCCCGAGGCCGGCCCCATGGGCAGGAGAGCTGCAGTCCCGGCCCTTGCTGGCCTCTCCCGACCGCAGCCGCTCCCGACAGCCCGCAGTCTCACTCTGTGCCCTTTTCTCCGTGCGAATTAGTGAGAACCAGGAGATTAATAGAAAGCTCAGTGGACAGTGCGAGGCGGAAGCCCTATAAAGCGCATTTTACGGTGCGTGTCGAGGAGACCGTAAAGATCTCCTGGAATGGAGGGCCAGCTCTGCAAGAGCCAGGCTCGCTGCAGAGCACGAAGCCGCGTCAGGATCCGGCCCGGAGAGGCTGGCTGAGCCATCCTGCAAAACCCAGGCTGAGGTTTAGACAGCCTCTCCGGGACTGCCGAGTGGCAGGAGGCAGCGGGAGAGGAGCGAGAAGCCACCCCCAAGCTTCCCCTTCGCCAAATGCTCAATCCATCACAGGTTCTGGCCGGGCCCGGCACTCTGGGCCCTCACCTGAAGGTGAATCAGCGGGTGAGGGAGCCGTGAGTTTTACCCGCTGCCCTGAAGGTCGTGTCAGTGGAAGGTGTTCTCCCAGACAGCTGGGGCATGGGTGCGTAGTTGGATTTATCAGGTCTGTATTCCAGGCAGATAAACTATTGTCTATCCTCCCTGAATAGCATATAAATAGACACGCCACAGAACAAAGAGAACTATTCTACTGATGCAACACAGATTCTCCCTAAAAAAAAAGAGATAGAGAGGCTTAATGTAAACTTTGCGTTTCCTATTTTCACGACTCTTATCTGACCTATAAAACAGGTTATTGAGTTACTGCAAGCAATCGCTTAAATGACTGAAAGCAAGAAGAGGGGGTTCCCACACCGCCCCCCCCCACCTCGATTTTCTTGAAGCAATAGATCTCCTTTCCGTAATCCACAACCGAAACACCTAAAGTATGTCAGTCGCAAAATTGCGTGGCAGAAATCTTTAATTGATGCCACATGTGGGATGCACTCTGGGGACACAGCGCTGCCGGCGGTGGAGCGGGCAGAGCGCGGAGGCCCGCGCAGGCAGCGCGGCCGCGGGGGAGCCAATTCACGGGGGAGACCGAGGGGAGTAAGAGGGCGACAGGAACGCCTGACAAGCGGGCTGCCCTGCCGCGGTGACAGGTTGGAGGGGGTGTTTTTTAACTTTCCCCGGGAAGGAGTGGGAGGGAAATCGAGACGTTTGGCGAGGAGGCAGCACTTCCCGGCTGAAGGCTCTGCTCGCGGGCGGTGCGGGCAGATGCCCGGGCAGGGCCGGGGGGCTCGGGCGGAAGGGGGAAGGTTTTCGTCCCGCACCGGAGGTGGGGGTGGCGGGCACGGTGTGTGTCTGGGTGCGGGTGATGGAGGTGTGCGTCCCAACCGGGGGCTAGCGCAGCTGGGGGTGGATGTGCTGTGAGTGTGAGAGCAGTGCAGGCAGGGTGCAGGCAGGGTGCAGGCAGGCTGCTCTGTGTGTGTGTGTGTGTGTGTGTGTGTGTGTGTGTGTGTCAGGCCCTGTGGCTCAGCCCTGGAGCCGCTCGGCACCCACAGGAATGTGGCTCCTTTCGGCTCCCCGAACTGCCCGGCTCCACATGGAAGTGGCCGCCAGGAAAACAGAAGGGAGGGGAAGAGGGGGAGGGGCGGGGAAAGCCCCGAGCCAGCAATCCGCCGAGCCCAAACCCAGCATCAGACAAAGGACAGTTCATGCCATCCCCTTCCCGGGGAAGCAAGGGGGGAGGCCTGGCCAAGCTAGGCTCCCTCCGGCCGCCGCCGGAGCCCAGAGAGTGCGCCCAGGCGGGAAGAGGCGCCGGGGTGTGCCTGCCTGTGTGTGCGGGGACAGAGGGGACAGAGGGGACAGAGCATCCTCCAAAACCAGGGGCTGTCCCGGAGGGGCAGGCGGCCGTAGGCTCTGAGTGTTCATCGAGGCCGGGACCATGCGACGGGGAGCCCCGGCGAGGGCATTTCTTATCCTCTCTAGGGGAGGGATGCCAGGCTTTTCCCGACCGGCCCAACACCAACCCGCTCTGGGAGGAGGAGAAATTGATCAGAGAGAGGGACCGGCATGGAAACGGAGCCGAGCTGACTTGACTGTCTTGGAGAGGCGAGCGATGCCTAGTCTAATGGTCTCATTCCCGTGCGAATTCCCATCTCTGGCCGGCATGCTGCTTGCCAACATTCCGCCTTCCCGGAGCTGCTCCTGCGCTGTCCGCCCGGGCCGTCCCGGCCCCGGCAGGTTCCCGTAACCCAACAGTCCCGCGGCAGCTCCTCAAAGAAAGGGTGGGTGGACCCACCTGGGAAACTGACTTCCACCTCTTGTGTCCAAACCTCTCTGCAAAGGGAAATGACCTCCGGGAGGGGAGAATCTCTTACTGCAGGTTGAATGCTTGTCTAAAGGGAAATGAGGAAAGGAGCGGAAGAAAATGAAAGGGTCGAGATTTTAAAATTTTTTTTTGCACAGGATGGAAGTGGGCAGAAGAGATGAAGCCGAGCTTTTCGTCAGGCCCAGAGTCGAGGAAATTCCCTGAAACTCTGCGAGTTAACTGAGCAGGAGACCGTCACCAGAACGGCGGAAGAGATGGGGGAGCGGCGGGGCACGGCGGCCGCTCTCCGGCAGCGGGCAGGGGTGGGCAGCCAGCGGCGGCCCCCGCC